TATTTTTGTGGTTAATTTGAACAAAAGCTTTCCGTTTGAATCATAAAGCCCTTTAATTTCTGAAATTAAAGTAACAAAGGCAAGATTGACAAATTACGATAGTACAAAGATTAATTTGCAAAATCAAGGAAATTCTCCCTTACGGTTTTCAGATCATTTTGGAACTTCCTTCTTTTTTTTCTTTTTTTTTTGGATATCTTAGGTAATGCATGTATTAATCTAAAATTGAGAATAGCATCTAAAACCTGAATTTAAAAATGCATAAACCCACACTCACTCTTTTAGGTTGCATAAGTTCACACATCTAGAAGTCAAGAAAAAGCAAAATCAACCAGTTGGGAGGGCCAGAATCAATTCACATGGACTAAAATGCAAAGGGAAAAAAAAATTGAGAATGATTAAGAGTGGTGAAATTCATCATCTTCTTGATAGAAATTGTGCTAACAAGGTGGTACAACATGAACTGGTTGATGCCAGCACATACCCACCAAATGGGAAAAATCAGAATATTGTCTCAGTTATGTGATCATGAAGTTGATGCCAAGGGTATTAGATGCTGCACGTTACAATAAGCAGGCAGGATCGCAGGGGAATGAGAATAAATCAAAATCTTAGAATATGCAAGGAAGATTACTGGCATTCATCCTCAAGCCTTATCTAACCCCAAGCCTCTGCACACAGCACACTGCATAGTTTATAGAAGAATATCAATTCGAGTGGCCTGTAGGCCAACTTTGATATGAGAGGCAGATGGAATTAGGTGGCAAACACAAAATTTGAGGCAGTCCTTTCTGATGGACGTTGCGTCTGGGATTCCTCCGCATCATTCCTAAGGCGGTTAGGAAATCCCTATCTCATTTTTTTTTTTTTTACCATTTAATATTTCATGTGTGTTCAAAATTTTAATATTTCCTTCCCTTAAAATCAAAAAATAAATAAATAAAAAATTTCCCTTCACTTAAAAGCTGGAGAAATAGAATTTTTTTTGTCATAGTTTCTTGAAAAAAATTATTTACAATTATTCAAGTATAACAAGGTTTTTATTAATAAAAAGAAAACTAAAAAGGTGAAATCTTCAGTGACAATCCTATATGTGTTAAGTAATCATCCCACATCTCTTAGTACTGGCATCTCCTAGTAGTTCTACTGGCGAACTGAGAGAGCCTGGGGTAAGGGTTCATGGGCAGGAGCAACAGAGATTGACTGCAACTTGCACTGCTCAGCAGATAGCAATTGAGCATTGCTTTCTTCAACAGAAATCTCGTCAATTAATGCAAGCAAAATGCGATTGAGGTCTTCCCCATCACACCATTCATGGATTTCAGCCTTGATAAGCATGGGATTCCTGCAGATTAAATCCCAAACAGGGAAGTTCTTCCTTGGCATCATATAGTCTGCTTCAGACAGCTTAAGGCTAGGACAGTAGTCACCACTACCGTCCCCAAGATAGATGATTTTCTTTTTCCCTTCTAAGGAAGCTTGAATTCTCTCAATGATCTTCCCCTGTTTTAAGCACAAGCAAAGAGAAGAAAAGGGTTAATGTCAAAATTCCAAAATAAAAAATTTCAAAATCAAAATATTGTGCTTAAAAGATGTTGACCTTTGTGTCATCATCATGATATGATTTATGTCACAAAAACTATTGTTTAAAAATATTTAAGTGGGGGCAGCAAAGAAGCAAAACCAAGATTATCCCCTGATAGAATATGTTAAATCAGAACAAAAATTGATTTTCAATATAAGAAAAGAAGTTCCCAAGTTGGTTTTGTTAGGTCATCAAACTTTCTAGAGCCATGAATATAAGAGCATTGATTTAAAATACATTTGAGAAAAAATGGAAGAACAAATTCATATAAAGTTGATTAGATTGATGAAAAATATGATACCTTGCACATATTTGGGGGGCAGAGGCTACAGCCGTGGGAGGATTTGGTGAAGTCATGGTAAGGGCAGATCCTTAGCCTTCCTTCTTCATCAACAAAACCAGGGTTAGTGTTGATCTCTGAGAAATAATCCCTTAATCCAAGATGCTCCAATATTGTCTCAATGAAGAACAGATTAGCATCACTCACAATCCTCAGTTCACACCTGAAACGAATCTAATGTGAGAATTTCTGCAACTGAAAACCAGAAAAAACTAATTTTGATTAAATCAAAGAGAAAAAATAAAAATTAAAAACATACCCTAAAGCATGAGCTGATTTGATTGCAGAGACAATCCTGGGATGTATAGGAGTCCGTTTCAGAACCTCAGTGACGTCCTCAATGGTCTTCCCTTGTAAATGAAGCTCCTTCATCATTCTATCCTATAATTTTCACAAAGGAATTTTAACAAACAATTAGAGAACTGCATGTAACAAGCAAAACTAAACAAACAGAATGAAAAAAAGTCCAAACTTGCATAAACATAGTAAGTACCATGACAGAATTCCAGGGCATGGTAGGAAGGAGCGTATTGAACAAGTCGGTAGCACCCAACTCGTCCACAACCCAGTTATCACTGTCACAGTCGATGATGGTTTTGTCAAAGTCGAAAATCACCATAATTCCAGCCATTTTGACACAAAATAAAAACAACCCAGAAACGAATTCTTGAAGAAAAACTTTGTTTTTGAGAATTGAGAGAAATGGTGGTACAAAATCACGTAGAGAAGAATGGGGTATTTATTTTAAGGGGGAAAGGTAATGCACATGTGAAAATGAACAAAAAAAACCTTATTCCTATTGAGAAAGTGATAATAAAGCAAAATTGGATTTTCCTAGATGCCAAAGAATATTACGAGAAGGTTTAATGGCAGATCCCTTTCTCTTCTCCAGAACAAATACGGATCATTTATATGGCAGAAGCATTTATCAGCCGTTGGATTGAATGACTTTGTGGTTTGACCAAGGGATGAGTGGATGTGATTGAATTTGAGGGTTTTAGTTTTTTTTTTTTT